GTTTTGTTTTTAGCAGTGCAGATGAATGTGTTGCTGACTATGATATGTTTGTACCTATTTTACTAATAAAGTGGAGTCAGTGAGAGCCTCTGTTACCCCCAGTTCCACATAGTTCAATGTGCTTTAACCACAACAGAAGGCATCACACAAACACATTTAATTTAACTTTAGTTCTACTTTTACAAATAGAAAAAACAAAACACACACAGGAGCTATGGTAATAATTGCATAATAGTACATAAAAATAAAAGTGCCATTACATTTATAGGGTTCAAATGTGTTTATTAATTATGCAGGTTTAAGTCCCAAACTATTGACATAGACTTTATTTCAAATCACACATCATTTTAATTGATCAAAGGGATCAATAAAGTTCTATTCGATTTTTATGTTTATTTTAAGAAAAACCCAACACCAGATTGTGATACTCTGGTGGCACTGAAGTAAGGTCTGCGGAAGCCATCAGCAGCTCACCCGGGCTTTTCTCCGGGGCAGCGAACCTCAGGCAATGTGCGTGACATGAGACGCTCCAGCTGGAGACGGTCGAGGCTCTCCCATCCAGGTGGGGATTGTGTTGTCACAGCCAGGGGAGACACAACACAACAGGGGATAAAGGTGACGAGATAACAGAGCTGGATGCTCTCTCGGTGGTTCCCTGAGATAATCAGTGATAGAGGAATGGTACGGTGAGTGACTTGGCGAGGAGTCTGCCATCCAAGGAGTTAGTTGTTTGTGTGGTTTTTAATAGTTCAAGAGGGGCGTTTATTTGGCTAGCGAACTCGAGAGCAATAAAATCATCGGCCCCTGAGTCAATTCAAACTTGTAGAAGAAACGCCCGAGAGTCAATGTGCAAGCTGCATGGGTTCATCCGGGGGACCGATGGAGGTGGCGTCCTGTCTGGACTTTGGGATGGAGGAACGGGGTTTTAGGGGGAAACACTGGGGAAGGCGTTGGTCTCATAGCCCTGACTGCTCTTTCTCTCCTTCGCTCCCGCAGCTGATTATCGACTTTTATGGCCAGAGAGAGGAGCTCCTCAAGAGAGGTGGGCGCTTCAGGCGATGCCAGCAAATAATGCCATCAAAGCGAGCTCATCCCATTGATATTCTGCAGCCAAAATTCTTAAATGGAAAAATGAATGGCCGATTGTGAGCCCTGTCAAATCAAATAGCCTGATTAGAGCCTCTTGCCCCTTCACAGGATGAGGAAAAATTTTGCAACGCTCTGCGGTGAAAGCTTCGTAAGAGCTTCAGAGAACCGACTGGTTGTGCCAAGTGCAGTGGCCCACTGGGCTGCCTGTCCACGTAAAAGAATACAAGAGGCAATTTTGGCTTAGTCAGTCAGATAGCTTACTGGCTGCAGATCAAAAACCAGTTTACAATTTAATAAAAAACTGCAACATCAACCCGGTTCCCTGGCATAAGGCTCGGGAGTAGGAAACTCAGGTTCTCTGGGGGGAGGAGAAGAGGGAGCAGTAACAGGAAGTACTCACAGGGAGATCAGGGGAGGATTCGGCACTGACTGTTGATCCAGCTGGGTGGAAATCCCTTGTACATTCAGGGAGAGGGTCTGGAGGGAGTCCGTCAGCCCGTGCAGAAGCTGGTGGTGTTTACCAAGCAGGATCCCTTGGGCATTCAGAGCCTCCTTCATGGTGCTATGGTATGCTGGGTCAGTGTTTCTTGGCCAGACAATTCTGTTACGGCCCGGTGGCCGAAGTACGTGAGTTTAGACCCAAAATGAGAGGGAGATAGGCCAAAGGGAAAACAGGCTTATTTGGGGAATCCGGAGGTGAGGGACACCCGGAGGCAGATGAGGGATCCGGGGCAGGTGCAAAGGTTCCAGCCAGGGGAAGAGGGTGATTTCCCGTACAGGTGCTCGTGGAGGGGAAAGTCTGACTCGTGTTCCGTGGAGTGAAAGCTGGCGTAGAATATCAAACGGCTGGACGCTTAAGCCGGTGGAGGGGACGCTGGGAAGCAAAGAGAGACAAACAGGTTACTCGTGAGCTCGAGAGTTCTAAGTTTTAGCCACATCAAACTTAGTAAACACAACTAAGCGGCCTGATGTACCACTCGAGGAGTTGGCAAACGTCTGGCACTGGAGCCCGGCTGAGCAGCAGCTTTATCCAGTGCGCTGATGTGGACAATGAGCTGCAGCTGTGCCAGCGTGGGAACGTCCTCCTCCAACCAGCCCCGCCCAGCCTGAAATAAACAGCACAGCCAGCCAAAAACACAGACAACAACAGAAATCCAGAACTACAAAATAAAACAAGTCCACAATCACAACAATAACATATTTAAAGTGAAATTTTACTTCTTTTAGTCCAACAATTGTATAATCTTCATCACACAAAACATACAATCAGGTCAAATCATGCCATCATTTTAAAACTAAATCAAAAC